AAATGAACTGAAACTTCCAAGGCCCTACTTTTTTTCTTTAAAAAATATTTTATTTATTATTTTTATTGTATGTGTATGAGTGTATTGTATGCATGTATGTAAGTGCACCTGTGTGATGAAGTGCTTGACAGAAGTCAGAAGAGGGCATTGAATCCACTAGAACTGGAGTTACAGATGGTTGTTAGATGCTATATGGATGCTAGCAATCAAACCTGGGTCTTCTTCAAGAGCATCCAGTGCTTTTAATCTCTGAGCCATCTTTCCAGCCCCCTGTGTTTTCTTAAAGTATAATTTTTCAAGTTTAAATTTTGTATTTAAATTTAAATTATTATTATTAATATTTATTTAAAAAATATTTTAAGTTTAGTTCTCATAATGCCAGATGATAAGATGCAAACTGTCAAGGAAGAAAAACAATTGATGGTCCAACCCAGCCCTAAATTCTAATAACCTTAATGACTGGCATGGCAAACTGCCTCAGTATTGGCACTGTTATCTAGTGGGTAATCAACAGCTATCTAATTGGGCTTAAAATCAGTGGGAGTGAACTCATTAGTGTCACTGTAAAATCAGCCAAGTATACATGGCAGGAGAGAACATAGATCTGAGAGAAAACCCTGTCTCTTTCATATCTCTAGACAAATGAAATTTCTTACCATATGCTAAATATGGATCCTTATATTTACAGACAAGCCTACCATACACTACTTATCAAAGAAGCTCCTTTTTGCAGTAGATGGAGGCTACTGTAGAATGGCACAACTGGTCAGACACAGAATGTACATCTGAGAGTTGCCCAGTAGTAGGTGACACATTGACAGTTGAACCTGTACACCTAACGTTCATGGAACATAGTGGAACAAGCAGTAGAGAGAAAACTAATGCATCCCCCCACTCTCACTAGTAAAGCTCCCTTATACAACAGAGTGTGATGCACACAGAAGGCCACAACTGGTCAAGTTTTAAAGAATAGGAGACTGCATAGTATGTATCCTTGGATGGAACTCCTATATGAACCTCACCCATCCACTTGTACATGTTGTTACTATTGCTGTAATTCATTTGAGTGACTCCCTAGCTGTCTGGAAGACTCTGTTTCTTTTATGGTCGTCCACCATTTCTGGGTCTTACAATTGCACTTTACTTGCCATGTAACCATGGTCACTATAACCCAAAGGAGAAAAAATATCTTGTAAAAATTAAAAAAAAAACAATAAGAATGAAATCTTCTTCCAAGCAGTCTAGTAACATTTTTGTGCATTTATCTAGCTGTGCTATAACTAGATGGCTCATATGAGATGGTTGATGGGTCAAAGATAAAGACTTCTTTTCTTGTTCATTTTCTTGTCCATAAAGTTATTTACTTATGTTTTGTTGGATGTATGTATGAAACAACGTCCAATGACAAACTGGAATTTTTATTTTTCTGAGTTGCTCTAACAAAAATAAGAAGCTGGTTGATAAACAATGGGTCATAAATATAATTTTTAAACATTTTGCTCCTGGAGAAAATACTTTGGAGTTGGGCAACTTAACTTTTTTTTGTCATTTATTGAGGCAGGGTCTCCTTGTTAGCCCCATCTGGTCTGGAACTCGCTATGTAGCCCACACTGGCCTTGATCTCATAGAGATTTGTCTACCTCTGCCTCTCTCATGCTGGGACTAAAGGTATGTGATACCACACCTGACTTCTAATAAAGTATTTTTTAGCACCTGAGCTTTATTGCTTTCCTTATAGTTTTTCAGGGGTGACAAAATGATTAAGAACCATTGTAGAAAACTACAAAAGCTTAATAAATTTTTTAAAATGACAATATGCTTTTCACATGATTTTTCTCAGAATTCAATGAATTAATGCATTTGAGTGGTAGAACATTTAACATTAGATTCAAACTATTATTGAAGTGGAAGTTATCTGAATTACTTATTTGAAATAGAACTTATTGGTGTTCAGCAATCAAACAAACAAGTGTGTACAAAGAAAATGCAGTTACAGCCAGCCCATATAGGACTCTTATTTTATTTGCTCAAAGAATATATTCACTTTGACCCCTAGATGTCAGTACTATGCATCTGCCAAGCCAATGTTTCTTGTATTTATCTGTATTGAGTGCCTGTTATGTTAGCCAATATGATAGAGTCTCAATTAATAAAAGTTAAATCAACAAAACTTTGCTTGCCATTTGAACATTATGGCTAATTAATGATCAAGTAGCGGCATTTTAAAAAAACAGATAGCAAAAGCTCTCTGAGCTATCACCCTAAGTGCAATTTTTCTATTTTAGATATATATTTATTTCCACAGCTCCAAGGTTGAGAACGTTTTCTTCTCAGAGAGCCTTGGTTCCTTTTAGGATAAAAGGTATAGGACAGAAAGTTGGTGACTTTTTAATAGTGGCTACATCTTTGTGTTGTCACCATGCCACATTACAATCAGTACCTGAATAAAAGAACCTGACTCCTAACTTTAGTTTTTGAGTGGGCTCAAACTTGGAGGACACCTATTCCCCTAGATATCTCTTGAAATTGTTCCCTGAAACTGTGCTCCTGAATCAGGCCTCAAGCGCAGTTAAAAAAATGTTTTATTTATTATTATTTTTTATTTTATTTTATGTGTATGAGTATATTGCCTGCATATGTGTAAGTGCACCCGTTGTCATGCAATGCCCATGGATATTGGTACAAGGCATCAGATTCCCCAGGAACTGGAGTTGCAGATGGTTGTTAGCCACCGTGTGGGTGCTGGGACTCGAATCCCGGTCTTCTGCAAGAGCAGTCAGTGCTTTTAACTGCTGAGCCATCTCTCTAGCCCCCTCAACTATACTTTTATTCAAAACCATTGCTCCAGGTTTAATTGGAGAACCACAAACTTTAATCCACCCTTATTTTATCAGACAATACTGCTTTTTATCCCTAGTACTGAAGTATTTCATACACACAATGTCAAATGTTCTTCCCAATTTTCATTGCATTTAATGAGGATGTGTGCTTTCTTTCTATGCTTTGATATGTTAATTCTCAAGCATACTCACATCAATTCTTTATCTTGGGGTACAGTAGCAAATTGAAAGTCCTAGGAAACAAGATTAGTTGCCCAGGTCACAAGAGCTTGTGATTCATGAGATTGCCAAGGTTGATTAAAAGTCATTAATTCAGATTCAGCCACTTTATAAAAGTCATTCCTACAACATTTCAATAACAAATTTCAAAGGCAAGGTGTTTTCATAGCCTTTGATCATTGTATATCAATTGTCCAGAGTAATGGGTTTCATTTTCATAAGTGGACATAACACACTTTGATCACATTTCCCTTTCCATTACCCCTTGTCCTGACATCCTTTCTTTTCCTTTGTAATCCTCCTTCTAACTTCATAATTCCACCACAATTGAGAAAAAGTAATGCTTTCCTCACCTCTCACTTAGTTAAACAGAATCTAAATGATCTTCCTTCTGTTACATGAAAATGATGCTAAAAATGGGTCAATTTGACACATTTTGTGGACACAGATATCTGTGTTTATTTGGACTTCAGTCATTTTATTTGTAAGATAAAGGTAGTAGACCAGGTTTCAATGTTTTTCCATGTTTTCTTACTGGAAATGCAAAATGTATTTCTGAAATTTTAGGTGCATGGCTCAGAGGCTGTTAAAATCAAATACAATTCATGCACATAGGAAATTCTACAAGATTATTTTGGACAAAGGAACCAGGCTTAGCTAGTGTCATTTCAGAATAAGAGCTTCTCAGATTCACAGAAAATGAACGATATTCCTTTCCAATCTTCTTGACTCTATCTGCCCATATTTACTAACATTAATAGCCTGAGTGCTTTGTGTATTCTCGTACAGACCTAGACAATGTTTCTAAAACACAAGCTATCAAGGCACATCTGCTGATTTCTAAGCAAAAATCAGCCATGAATTTCTGCCCATAGCCCTCTTGACTTATCTTAAAGAAAACTTTGTTCTTCACTTATATCTGGAGTCTGGCAATGTGTCCAAATATTCACACTCCATAGCATTAATAAATTTTGCTGAGGTTATTTTGAGCTTAATATCAAGGAGATATTTTAAGTTTTGTTTTGTGGTTAAGCCACAGAATCAACCTGATTTCCTCTTCCAAATTTTATAAAGTCCTGTGTATCTGAAGGTAAATGATGTGTAGAATCAGATTGGAATTAAGACACAAGGTGTTTAAAATTACATCTAAACTGACTTGAATCAAATTGAAAAAGAACATCACATTTCCTTAATATTCATGGTTAGGATGTCAAATCCTTAATATACTAAGACCTAGTTCATTGGAGAAATAATGAAGGTGAGAAAGGAGTAAGAAGAGAGGAAAGAAGCAATAATGATGGTAAAAAGAAGACAGAGATGCCAGACTTAGTGGTGAGCACCTTTGCCAGGAGGCAAAGGCAGGCAGATCTCAGGAAGATTGAGGCCATCCTGGTCCATGTTCCACCTGGGCTGGGATTAGGGATGCCCTGTCAAAAAAATACCACCTCCACCACCACCAACACAAAACAACAAGACTAAGAGAATTTAACAGAGTGATGCAATGATTCTAGAGATGAAGATAATATTTAGGCTTAAGAATAGAGAGCTGTGGGGCGGTAGAGGTTCTAATTCAAACATTACTGATCTCCAAGCCAAGGACTAAGCCTTACATTTTCATCTATAAAATATAATTAGGGAAATATCCTTTAGTATCCAAACTTACCTTAAAGAGATGTGGGGGAATCGAGAAAGTTCCAACCCTTTGCTGTGAATGATTCTACTCAAAGACCATTGCCACCTCCAATGTTACCTCCATTACATTGTAAACTTTGTCCAGGTACATGGAGGTGGGTAGTGAGATTGGACAGTAATTATAGTTTTCCTTTTCATTTAACACTAAACCACTTCCAATCAAAATGCAAGATGTGGCAACCACACTTAAAATTACCAGGAGTTAAAAGAGAACACACATTATTACACCTTGGGTTATATATGGTTAATTTACTCAAGCTTTATACAGCAATGTTCTTTTTGTACAAATATCTTTATAACCCACTCTCCTATCTGCTTAGTTCTGACTCCATAATTGACAGGGTTAAGGGCAGGTGGGAGAACCACATATAGATTAGCTAAAAGGATATGGATGTAGTGGGGAATGTTTTGGCCAAAGAGGTGTGTCATAAAAGAGAACAAGGCTGGTGTGTAGAAACACAGCATGACACAGACGTGGGAACCACAGGTATTGAGAGCCTTTAGTCGGGTGTCTTGAGAGGGAAGGCAGAAAACAGCTCAGAGGATAAGCACATAGGAAGAGGCAATCAGAATCATATCCATAAGGATATTAGAAATCACAATGAGTCCATAGATGATGTTGATCTTGATGGGTGCACAGGCCAGTCTGGCAAGACCCATGTGTTCACAGTATGTATGAGGCATGACGTGGTGCCCATGGAAGGGCAGACGCAGAATGAGAAACAAGAACGGAGTCACAAGAATTAAATTTCTCCAACAACAACAGAGAGGAGAAGGCTGATGGTTCTATTGGTGAGGATCACAGTGTACTGGAGAGGATTGCAGATGGCAACAAACCGGTCGTAAGCCATGACCACCAGCAAAACAGTCCCCATGCCTGTGAACAGGTGGATGAAGAACATCTGAGCCAGGCAGCCCCCGAAGCTGATCTTTTGGAGATTGAACCAGAAGATGCCCAGCATTTTGGGGATGGTGGACGTGGAGAGACCCAGATCAATCAGAGACAACGTGGCCAGGAAGTAGAACATGGGCTGGTGGAGACTGTGTTCAGTCTTGATCACAAAGAGAATGGTGATGTTCCCCACAAGGGATGTCAGATACACAAGGCAGAATGGGAAAGCAATCCAGACATGAACAGCTTCCAGGCCTGGAATTCCGACCAGTAGAAAGAAGAGGGGATGGAGCTGTGTGCTATTGACAGAAGTCATTCTCCTGGCATGTGGAGGGAATTCTGCTTAAGAGGAATTTCCCTCTTGTTAAGATGTTCCTTTATCAAGGTCCTAGGAGTTGAAAAATATCAGTCAGTTTACTGAATAAAATGATACAAATATTAAATTTACAAACGTAAGGTATTCTCTTTTTTTTTCAGAACTAATTGAACAAGTCTTCCAACACATGTTGTAGATCTGAGAACTATGGCAGATGATATGGCCAACTTTTTTCTAATTCATGAGATTTTTGAAAAAACGGGGATTAGTCTATCAGGTGGAACACACTTTATGGTGTTCCTTGCCATCTATTACTTTGGGGACACTACTGTACAGACTGTTCTGTGATTGTGATCCAGTGTTTGCAAGTCCTAAATCTCAAGAACTGCTGCATTATACCGTCATCAGTGTTTTGATTTGTTAATCGACTTAGTATAGTCAACATGGAATAAGGAAGATCAACGAAATGCCCCATCTTAGAATTTTCTTGTCTAACTCTGCTCTGACTAGCCTGCTGATTCTATGACATAATTGATGCTTTTTAGTGTTTCTTACCATATGGAACTGTGTTAGTTTAGAAACCTTATTTCCAATCTCCTATTTATTCTACAATACACACTTTCTAAAACTGCCTTTTTTAATTAGACAAATTATGCTAATCTGTCTTATAACATATAATGATAAATTCCATATAATATTTATGGTCTAAAATCATGCTTAGTTTCAGGTATAAACAGATCAAATATCTAACAAATTTAAGTGAAATTAAATTTTTGTTAGGTAATCTTCCTTAATCTCTTGAAAATAATAAATAAAATTACCTTCTTTTAATTCTTTGTGTTCCTTGGAAATTATATTATTGTGTAGTAACAAACTTGACCTAACTTCATTATTCTGAACTAAGGGAGGAGCTACGTCTCTGGCACAGAAGGAGGGGATTTTAATATACCATCCCTAACACTGACATATAAGAACTTGCTTCCTAGTTTATGTATGTGTGAGAGAGACACACACAGAGAAAGAGAGAGACAGAGACAGAAGCATAGAGGCAGAGGGAGACAGAGAGACAGAGATGGAGAGCCACACAGAGAGACAAGATTGTGAGTTTTGCATGCTGCTCTCCCAATCTGCTTCCTGTAGTTTGTCAGGTAGTTATCAGACCATGGAAGTATCCAGGCAGAGGGATTTTTAATAATGCCCTGCTCTATATGAGAAGAAAAAGGTCTACAGAAGACCCCACAGATGCTGGAGAGAAAGTTGTCCACGGATGAGGATGAGGACAATGTTTGCCAGTGTTGAGCAGAAGATGACAGGCTGTGGAATAAGGGGGAGCTATTTGTGGAACTTGATTTAAGTATATACTCAGTATGGTCTTCGGGGTGGTGGTTTTCAACAAGACGCTTTGCTAGCAAAGGCAAGCTCCCAGGAGAGTAGCAGTATTAGTTCGTCTTTCACATTCTCGTTAAAAGCCGTCAGGACACCTACTCTTTCACAGGTTTAACCAGGATTCTTGTCTTTTTCTGAGATTATTTGAAATGAGCACTGGCAGACATGTGTGGACAGCAATCTGAAGATTGTTTCTGGAGGGCACCCTGGTCTGCATGTGCTCCTTGACGAAGTTCTCGGTCCCATTTCAAAACCTGACATGATAGAGAGTTTTCTCTGCTAGCACCACCAGTGCTGAGACCATTGATCTTGTGATCTCTTTTTATTCTATTTTATCTTTATCTCTCTAAGTCTCATAGAGCATTAAGAAGGTTTGTTTAGTCTTTGAAAATATTAAATTTAAAATGGCTTGAAATCCTGTTGTGCTATTTCCTTGCTAGAGAACTTTGGTCAATTTCTTGACTTTATAGATCAAGTTTTTTCCCTTGTAAAACTTGCAGAAATAAATCTAATGTGCTTTATTTCCACGATGAGTAAGACCAATGTTTGTGAATTAACTAGCTTAGAGCACCTGAAAAGTAGTAGTGATTTATATTACTGATACCACCTGTATTTTATTTTCTTTTAATCCAAGATGCTAAGAAAAGATCATTATTTAAAATTTGATCATTGTTGTCTAGAAGATGAGTGGATAGTCACAGAAGTCAAGGTGAAAGACTGCCACAAGACAGACATTCGTATCTACCTCCACATTTCTGTTGACACTAACATAATCTAACATTGCTCAGTTTAAAAGAGAACCAGGTTCTATTCTCATTCTTAGAGTTTTTTATTTAGTTTTATTTTATGTGTATGAATGTTTTGCCTGCATGTATGTAAGTGCACCCATGTCATGCAATGACTGTGGATTCCAAAAGAGGGTGTCAAATCCCCTGAAACTGGAATTATGGACAGTTGTTAGCTGCCATGTGGTTGCTGAGAATCAAACCTAGGTCCTCTGCAAGAGCAGCCATTGCTCTTAACCGCTAAGTATCTCCCTAGTCCCTCTTTTTAGTCCTATGACTTACTCTTCAGCTTTCCTTAACAAGGAAGTTGATGGGCATTGAGATATAAATGAGATTTATACAAGGCCTTTCAAGCCTAGATAATGAAGGAGGCAAGAAAAAAAGGCTGAGTCTGGTTTCTATACCAGGGATATTAGATTTACAACATCAAAGCCTTAGAGATGGTTCCATAAAAGTAGTGGGAACAAGGTGGTCAAGTCGGATTGAACAACTTGTAAATTGAAAGGAGTATGAGGGAAAGAAAAGCAGAGAATTTTGAAGACCAAGTAAAATTATGTGATTGTATTTGGATTCTGACACCAGCCACCACTCCACTCCCAATC